AGGTACTGGTATCACAAGCTCCAGCATTACTCACACTGGACTGTCAGGATAAGAGGGCAGCCCCCTGTGTGCCCTACAGCATCAGAACCAGGGTCACAATCATCAGCATCCTAGTGTGACCAATACCCAACTGTCTGAATATCACCTTACTGTTGGAGTTTTCAGGAAGTAGTTTATCCATAATATTCTTTATGATTTTAAGGTACACAGAACCCCTAGTAGTAACAATCCCTGTCACTGTATACTTTCTCCTTTTTCTTGCAAATTGTGGGTGTATATATCTATCTATATATATTTTTTTCTTCCAGATAATCAATATTTGGATGTCAGTTGAATCCTGGTGCTCCTCTTCCAATCTACCTACTTGCTAATGTGCCTGGGAAAGCAGTAAATGGCACAACTGCTTGGATTCTGAATGCACACATAAGGAGAGCTAGGTGGAGTGTCTGGGTGCAGAGGCCCAAGAACTTGGACCATCTAATGCTGCATCCCAAGGTGCTTTAGCAAGGAGCTAGATCAGAAGTGGAGCAGCCTATGTGGGATGCCAGCATTGCAGGCGGTGGATTAGCCCAATCACTGTGCCACACTTGATTTTTTTGTTCCTACTCTAGTAGGGCAATTAACTTGCCTGGTTTCAAATTACAATTTTTTTTTCCCTCTTGTAATACGGAGCAGTTAAAATCTCTACTCCATTCTCATGGCTTCTCTGCTGTTTTTGATTTTTCATGTTTGCACCCTGGATATAGCTTCCTTTGCCTATATAATTTGGTGGTCACCCAAAATTTTGGGCAGCTTTGGGAGATCACTCTCTCAATTTCCTTATTTACATTTCCAATTCCTTTACCAGCCTTCAGTGCCTCTCCCTGGTACTTTAAACTCACAAGGCTGTGGCATCAATGCCATCCAAGTTAGCACATGGCTTCAATTAAAAAGCAGCAAATGCATATGCTTGAATGAGAGTGACCTTGCTGTCTATTTCTCAAGGATAGATTCATGTCTAGTTGTTGGCAGGGCTCCCTGAGTTCTGCCCTGTGTCAGTGCAATTCACTAGTTAGCCAGGAATGAGCTCAAAAAAAGTAAATGAGGTAAAGTTTATGCTTAATTTTTTATAATTCACTGTGATTTCTTGCCACAAAATTTTTTTCCTTAAATTTCCAATTCTTTTCTTGCCCTGAACGCTGGCACTAAGAGCTCATCAGGCTGCAGGTTAATTTGTTGCCAAAGTCAGGATAAGGGCCCTCAGTTCAGAGTCACAGTTTTTTGGAGAAAAAACTCCCCTCCAGCTTTTATTTGAGAACTTTTCATTGTACCTCTCGTTAATTTAAACAGTTTCGTATCCAGGTCTTAAAATCCTTATCTGTCAAAGGGTTTGCAAGAACTTCACATTGACACATTATTTTCAATTTATTTAGGTGTGCTTTTAAATTTGCATTGCTTTGCCATAAGTTAAACTTTTTTCATATTTTGGGGTTTATTCATCTTTGTAGCTACTTCATGTATTTTACCTATTTTTCTGCCAGACCTTTGGTGATTTTTTTTTTTTTTTTTAGTTTTTTAAAAAAGAGTTAATATGTCGGGGATATCTGCCCTTTGTTTGAGAAACAGTACATACTCTTTCCAGTTTGTCATTTATCTTTTAATTTTGCTAATGATGTTTTTGATGATGCAGTTTTTCAAAATCATTTTCGTGCAGCCAAGGTTAATGATCTTTTATTGCATCTGGATTTTGAGTCATAGTGAGGAAGCTTTTCTTTATGTTGCAGAAGAATTCATTGTTTTCCTACAATACTTGTATCCTTCTGTATTTTATATTTAAGACTTAGCTTTATTTGAAGGTGTAGTATGAGATGTGGATTTTAGTGTTTTCCAATGGCTACCAGTTATTATAAAGCTCTAGTGTCTTGAGACATCTTTACAATAAACTAAGTTTCCATATAGTGTAAAGCTATGTCTGGACTGCATTTTCTTCCATCTATCTTTTGTTGTGTTAGTATGGCACTATTTTAAGGATATAGATAGTACAGTGTTTTACTGTGTTAGTGTAAGTTCCTCCTGTGGCTCTTATCTTACAGTGTGTCTTAGCTTAATTTCAAATGTTCCATATGAGGCTAGCTATCAACGTTTTGGGCTTCATAAAACATTTGCTGTTGTTTTTACTGGGATTGTGTGACATTAATTGACAAACTCAAGGAGACCCATTATCTTCATGATGCTAAATCATCCTGTCTAAATATAAGGAATGGTTACAACCGTTCTTGTCTCTTTCAGGACTGCCCTAAAGTTTTCACAATTTGCTTTTGTATATTTCTTATTAACTATTCTGGATACAGCTCATTCTCATTGTTCACAGACCTCATAGTTGGGAGTCCACCTGCTTGCTACCACGTTCAAGGCACTTTTCCAGTTGGGTGTGTGCTAAAAGCAATGAGGTGTCTGAGTCACCTGCCTGTCTTCCTGTCTTGGCTCTCCTACTATAAACATGTGCCTTGCTCATCTTGTTGTAGGATATGTCAAAAGGTTTGTAGTGGGCCCAGCATCAATGCTCAACAGATTAATCCTCACCATTCGTGTTGGCATCCCGTATGGTTGCCAGATCATGTACTGGTTGCTCTAACTGTTTATGGCCTGGAAAAGCAGCAGAAGATGGCCCAAAGCCTTAGGACCCTGCAACCATGTGGGAGACTTGCAGGAGACTCTTGGCTTCTGGCTTTGGATTGGCTCAGCTGTGCCCATTGAGGCCATTTGAAGTGTGAACCAGCAAGTGGAAGATCTTTCTGTCTCTCCTTCTCTCTGTAAATCTGCCTTTGAAATAAAAACACCTAAATCTTAAAAAAAAAAAAAAAAAAAAAAAAAAGAAGAAGTAGTAGTTGTTTGTAGAGAATAGTTAAAGGATCCATGTATACAAAGGGTCTTCAGAATGTTCCTGGAAAATGCAGATTATGCACAGTTTATGCCTGAGTTTCAACTTTTTTGCATGTAAATAAATCATTTAATTCCATTTTCACAAAATTTTTGAAAGAATCCTCCTATATAGTGCCATATTTTATATGTTTGCACTTATTGTTGGTAATTTCACTGTTTAGCATGGCCTGCAAAGGTGGCACTGAAGTGCTGTTTGGTGTTGTTAAAGTCAAGGTGTACTAGATAAGCTCTGTTCAGCACTATACTATTTTGGGCAGGAGGATGTTAATGATAGACAATATATTTTAAATAAGGCACACATAAGACAAAGTTATGTATTGATTGGTTGATAGAGCTATTGTGAGAAGTGGCTTATGGGAAGCTAAATTTATGTTGCCACTAAAGGCAAATGGTCAGTACTCAGTATTGGAGGCAACTTTGCAAAAGATAACTACCATGAATGAGAACCAATTATATTTTGTTTTCTTTATGAATATTTTAAATGAGGTTTTTCCCTATCAGTCTATCTTGCTATTCTTTGTTTATGTTAGGCTAGGGTTAGAGTTACATTTTGTCTAAGGTTTTTCTAAGGTTTGAGGTCAATCCCTTGGGGTACCTTACCTGATGCTCTTTGAGCCATGAAATGTTCTGTTGTGGAAGAAACAGGAACACTCCCAGCCCTATGTGAGCTGTTGAGGATGCTCCCCCTTTTGCGTGGGCCCTTCCTGACATTCAGATTCTACTCAGTGCTGGGCTGAAGGCTCTTAGGAGCACTGAATGGGCCTCCTCTCTCTCCCCTGCTATGCTGCATCCTGGAACCTGGGTCCTTCATACATTTATTTCCCTAAGATTACAATGGTCTCATGGCCAATACTGTGGAAACAGTTGTTCCATACATTCAGTCATGTTTGGATTGTTTGGGGTAGGTGAGTAAATCAAGTTCCCGGTGTCCTATATTGGCTGGAAGTGGAAGCATACTGTGATTTTCGCTATAGTTCTTTTTCTCTGCGTGTCCCCACCTACACTCAATCGTGGTTGGGCCAACAAGAAACTGGAGATTCAGGAAGAGATGGCACACACAGAGGAAGCAATGTTTGATGGTATCTTTCTGGAGCCCAGCACATTTGTCAGCATTCGGTCGCATGCTGCACAGTTGAAAAAGTGTATGCAAGCTTATATGACGATGGCGGGATGAACAGTCTCTTTCCCATTACAGCATCTTTCTCCTATGCTCCCTTCAGGCCCTCTTCCAGAACAGCTGTCATTAGCAGAGAGCTGGCCAGAGCCTGACTTCGGGGTAGAAGCCTCTGCAGTTGGGTGGGGGTTGGGGGTGGCATGCCTTTCCACTTACCTTCCCCTGCCTTGCTTCGGATCATCTCCTTACTCCTCAATCCCTTCCTCACGCCATTAGTATTTTTACCTTGACGCTTATTCATTCAGAAGTAGATTCCTCCTTTGATTTCTGGAGACTCCTAGGATTTTCATGTGAATACCACTTTTAATTAGGTTGTAGATTTTGAGAGCATCAGAACCCTGCTCTATCTTTTCTGTTTACAAAATTATTCCAATATTTTTCTTATTAGTAATCTTACTATTGATATCTTGCCTCACAGCTACTACTAACTAGAAGAAAAGAATTGGGAGTGCTATGTTAATTTTGGAATTAGTCAATAGAACCAGAAACCTTTCTATGTCATTGCTAAAATTAGCTCAAAAAGAACAGTATCAAGGGCCCAGCATGGTGGCCTACTGGCTAAAGTCCTCGCCTTGAACGTGCCAGGATCCCATGTGGTTACTGGTTCTAATCCTGGCAGCTCCACTTCCCATCCAGCTCCCTGCTTGTGGCCTGGGAAAGCAGTAGAGGATGGCCCAAAGCCTTGAGACCCTGCACCTGCATGGGAGACCTGGAGGAAGTTCCTGGCTCCTGGTTTCGAATCGGCACAGCACCAGCCATTGTGGTCATTTGGGGAGTGAATCGTCGGACAGAAGATCTTCCTCTCTGTCTTTCCTCTTCTCTGTATATCCAACTTCACAATAAAAATAAATACATCTTAAAAAAAAAACAGTATGAAGCAAACAATTCATAAAGTTTTGAAAGGTTTCCAACTTAAGAGTTTTTATTCTGGGTCCACGCTCAATTAGAGATACCTACAACAGACTACAGAAGACAAGATAATTAGGGAGGGCGTAATTAAAAGAAAAAAAAAAGCCAGAAAAAAGCAAACAGTGGACTGTTCAATCTTGCAGCTCTCAGATAAGTTACTGGGTCTGAATTCTGGTTCTCGCAATGGGCAACAATATACCAACTTCACACAAGTGCTAACCAATGTGAAACAAGACTGTGGACTTGCTGAACAATTCCAAGAACAATTTAAGTTCCTATGCCAGTAACCTGCTGGGTGAAAACTTCTGGATGTGGGGAGTTTATCAGAAGTCTGAGTACTGTTCTATGAGGGCAGGGTCCAAAAGAAGATAGAAAGCTCAGGAAAAGCTAGAAGCAATATACTCAAACAGGTGGGAGGGCTCAAACATGGATGAGTGGGGAGCCTGAGTGCAGGTGGACACAGGTCAGGGAAAGGGCGGCCTTACCTCAGCTGAGGGCCTAGTGTCACCTGGTGAGGTCTGGGCAGCCCCGCAGGACTGTGGCTTTCTTAAACAAAGTTGCCAGCGAAAGCCCTTAGCTTTTTGCTGCTGTGGATGGCTTGAGGAGGAAGGGGAGGGGCTGCTTGAGGCAGTGGAGGTGGTGGTGGTGGTGGTGGTAGTGGTGAGGCAGCGATGGCCCTGCCGGCTGACCCCTACACCTCTGGCCCAGGGCTTTCTCAGGGGAAGTGGGTTGCAATGTCATTCAAGTGGGATTGGTATTCTTTCAGTGCTGGGCCCTACCCTGGCCTGGAGACTGGGGAGTGATCTTACACTCATTATTCTTGAAAGAGATCTCAGGGGATTTTGGAGATTACAGAGTACCATCCCTCCCCCTACCCTGGGCCTGTGCCTCATTTTGCAGGAGGGATTCTTGGGACCTGGTGCCATGGGAGCAGTTGTCCGAGTCTGAGGATACCATCTCCTGGAGAGGTGGCCTCTTAGCAGGTTTCTTCTTCTTCTTTTTAGGGTTCTCCTGTTTTGGTCCTTTGAAAGACCCGGTGTCCACTTCTGTCAGTGACCAGATTGGGAAAGTAGAGTTGCTGGCTTCCAAATCCTCCCTGGAGAGAGACAGAAAGAGGGGGATTACCTTAGTGTTGACAGCTGCTGTGTCTATCGCAGTGTTCAGGCCAGATCGGTGGACTTTTTCTCAGCTCCTGGTACACTGCCCTTCTCTGAGGGTCCCAAATTCTAGGCTAGGACATTTTTTTGGTACCAAAATAATTTTATTTAACTTGAGAGGGAGAAGAGGTGGAGGGAGGGAGGGAAGGAGAGAGAAAGATGAGAGAGAGAGAGAGGAGAAACACTCTCATCCACTGGTTTACTCCTGCAGTACCCAGGACTGGACCAGGTTGAAGTTAAGAGCTGGAAACTAAATCCAAGTCTCCGTGTGGGTGGCAGAGACTCAACTACTTGAGCATCATCACTGCTTCCTGGGGTCTGACAGGAAGTTGAGTCAGGAGCCAGAGCCTGGATTCAAACTCCAATGCTAAGATATGGGACGCTAGCATCCTACCTGGCACCTTAACCACAAGGCTGAGCACTCACCCCAACCTTACCTTTTAATTGCATTTTCCACAAATGTTCTGAAGTACCTCCCTTAAGGTCTGTGATAACCAAGTTCTTAGCGATATCAGAAAATCACATTTCAAGGTTGTATTTGGTACTCATGCTCTGTGATATCTCAGCTTGATCCACTGCATTCTTAGTCACTTTTTACATGTTTTTTCCCTCTGTATCCCATGTATTGGTTGATTATAGTTGTCTACAAACTATAACTTTTCAGAAGAAAGAGTAAAAAGGAAGGGGGATGAGGAAGTGGGGAAATTTTCAGGTATCCACAGAGGGGAGGAGGGGCCTATTTCTGTACCTGTCTGACACTACAAAGATCTTGAAAGAACCCAAAGGAATAAGAAGAGAGACCTGTCCAGCAGAGGATTGGTCATATAAGTTTCAGATCTTGAGAATAATGGAGTTCTAGGTAGGCAATAATGAAACAACAGGTGTCACTGTCATGGAAAGATCCATGTAACATATAAGTAGGAGTGAAGTTATAAGATGCAACCAACCATAAGGATGATTGGACATCTTGGCATCGAATGGGTGATGGTTACCTCTGGGAAATATATTCCAAGACTAGAGTTGTCCCTTTTTCCACATTCCCTCCAAAATTTTTGCTACTATAAACCAGGTATCACTGGAATAGCAAAATAGGGTAAAGAGAGTGTTGAGGATAAGAAAGGAGATGAAGAAATGCTGGCTGTGCCAACTCAGTAAGTTCTCAGGACTTTAAAGCCCGAAAGCTAAGCACTATGTACTTGCTTTTGTATCCCTCGCCCCTGCCAATGCTAAAGATAACTCATGCTGTAACACTCTAAAAAAGATGGAATTGGGGGATAAATGTGGCTCAGCCATTATAGAGTAATCCAGACTGGTGCCCTCTAGATTAAAATACAGGTTCTTCCTTTCTACGAGGGGCTATCAGGTGTCCAGTGGTCAATTTTCTTGACATCCATCAGACATACTCCATCAGTGTAAGAAAGGATCCAATACGTGGCTTTTTTGTCTTCAATTTCACACCAAACAATGTGTAATCAGGTGCTCCACTACTAATCACTTTAGGATACAGATCTGGTTGAATCATAGGATAAGCAGGCCAGAGAGAGAGAGAGTAGTTGGGGAGGTAAAAGCATGGAGCACGGTCCTATGCCTTCATTGATTTTCTTGAGAAGCTGGTCCCACTTTCGGCAAGAAAAGTGCTGGGCACTTCCTCCAAGTTCTGCTGGCACCCAAATATATTTCATTCCTCAGGCATCACTAGCTTGTCCAGGTTCTTGCTGGTTGCCTGGGGCCTCAGTTCTGTTTTGTCCTAAGTATATGTCTGTCAGTCCAGCCATCTTAGGAAATAAAGAACTAAAGTACTTATAGAGTAGGCACTGAAAGGATGTCTCCTGAGAACCAGGAGGCATCTGAGACAAACAAGAAAAGGCCTCTTTTATGCAAATTTCTGCCCTTGGCCCTGAGGTTTCTGAATCACTGTGACCCCAAATGCTTCTTTGTCTCAAACCCTGTGCCAGCTTAGCGTGCTTCTGAGAGTAGCCAGAGGTGTTTGTCCTTGTGGGTAGCACAGGACACTTGCAGATGGAGTCTGGTGCTGGGATGCTCATTTTCAGGGCTTTGCTCCAGCACAAGAAATTAGACACCTAAGCTGACCAGAAAGAACACAGGATGTGAATGACATGCAAAGGCGTAATGATTTCAAATGCACATCTCGCTGTAAGTGAAACATCATCAGGAATGACCAGGTAAGATTAAGGGAAGTGATTCATCTAACTTCATGTCACCGGCAGTATTGAATCTTGAACTTTTAAGGACCCCACTGCTTTTGAAAGACAGTATGAGGCACAATGTGTTGGAGTTAGGGAGGAGGTTAAATAATAGGGAAATTTCTATTTAGACCTACTCCTGAATCCAGTGGCTTCATGGAATGTTACAAAACTGTTTAAAAATAAAGAGCATTTAGTGGAATAGGAACTGGGGAACTGACCATGGATGCACAAAAGCCAGAGCTGAGCGCTAGGATAGACCAGGTTTGTCCCTGGTCTCCCCACAGCAGACACAAACATACTGTGTTTCCAAGACCACATACAGACAATCACATGGCAAGCCTTCAAGATCTTGTTACCCAGCAGCTTCTTTCAGATACCCAGTGAATTTTCTGAAGCACAGAGAAAATGTCTCGCCTGAGAGCATCTTTGAAATGTGATCCCTTTTTAAAAAGGAATCAATCATACTTCTAAGGAGCATCGTCTTAAGAAGTCTTGAAGGTCAGCCTGCCTCTGCTAAGACTGATACGAGGAAGCATTCCTACTTTGTTGGGAGGGATTTCCAACCAACTACACAGCACCAGGGGGTGGGTACATTCATTCAGTGCTGCTCTGCCAGAGCCCCAGCTTGTGGGTAGTTGAGGAACCTCTATTTAGAGTTACCTCTTTTCATTGGACAAATCCAGAGCACGAAGCCCACCAGTTGCTTTTCCTTGATGCAGACAAACAGCCACAGATCTCCAGGGTGGACAGGACCTCAGGAGAGGCAGCCTGGGACAAGCCTGGTCTAAGTGTCTGTGGACAGGATCCCAGGAAAGGAAGCTAGGAACAAGCCTGGACAGTGAGTTTACTTCCCCACAAAAGAGAGGATACCAAATTGAGGAAAAGTTCTCCTGTTCCACTTGTTTCTCAGTTATTGAGGCCACAAGGGAAAAGTACATAGAGAAAGTTATAGACAGGTAGGGGAGTATTTCTGCTTAGAAAAGATGTCTGTGATACAATGTGTAGAGGAAAGCTCAGGGTTTACTGAAGGGACGGGGAAGGGAAACGGAAGAATCATCATTTCCTGCCACCACAGACTCACACTTAGAAGACCCACCTCCCAGAAATGGTATTAAAGAATGCGGTGATCACACTGCTAAGCAAAGAAGAAAGCTGCACCAGTTTAATTCATGTCACACTGCAAATGCAGGGATGCCAAGATGGTGGGGGCTTGGTGTGTGGGATCCCAGCGGCTCTGGGGGATGGCACAGGTGGGGGCATGCAGAGAGGTACAGGCTCACATCCAGGATTGGTGGTCTGACCGTGGAATGCATGTGTCAGAACTGGGTCTTTGGGCCCAGTGGCATGGCTTAGCCACTAAAGTCCTCACCTTGAACGTGCCAGGATCCCATATGGCCCTTGGTTCTAATCCCGGCAGCTCCACTTTCAATTACAGCTCCCTGCTTGTGGCCTGGGAAAGCAGTAGAGGACAGCCCAAAGCCTTGGGACTTTGCACCCATGTGGGAGACCTGGAAGAAGTTCCTGGATCCTGGCTTCGGATTGGCTCAGCACCAACCGTTGCGGCCACTTGGGGAGTGAACCATCAGACAGAAAATCTTTCTATCTCTCCTCTTCTCTGTATATCTGACTTTGTAATAAAAATAAATAAATCTTAAAAAAAAAAAACCAAAAAGAACTGGGTCTTCTCAGTGGAAAAGACAGAGCAGTGGATGGCAGGCCTAGATGCACACAGAGGATATGGCAGCCCACTGAGGCCTGTGGAGGACATCTGATACCATAGCAGAGGAAGGAGTGTGTGAAGAGTCAGACAGGATAGTAGGTGGTTAGGATTTCTGGTCCTTGGTGAAATTACTCAAAAATATAGAAACATTTTTCTCCCCTTTTTGCTTTGTTTTGTTTCTTTCAAAAACACCTTATTTCCTTGAGAAAGGACAGAGGGGCAGAATTAACATATTAAATCACCATCTCAGAGCAGTAACAAAAGCAAGGAGAAGTGACCCACCTAATCTCATCTCTGAGTCACTGTCAAAGACAAGGTGCCTGAGTAATCAGTTTATGTCTAATAGATTCGGAGGAAGTTAACCAGTCCCACCCTTCTGAGGTTCTTTTGTTTCTGAGCCAGGTAATATATGAACGAATTTTTTTCTTTTGTTCTTTGAGAAACTCCCTTGAGATGGGGTACAAAATATACTAACTCCCCCTGTGCATGGGTCCTTTCTCCCTTGGAGCCCCCTCCTGTCGCTAGGGCAGGAGTCACTTTATCTTTTTCTTAAAACAACCTTGCTTTGTTAACTGAAATTTGTCCAAATGAAAATTCTCCTTTCGTGTGAGACAAGAAACAAGGTTGCTGTTGTGTTTTGTGCTGAATTACCTATAACAGGAGGGCAGAACAAATTCGACAACTACCTTGACCAAGCAATGACTGCAAATAACTCTGTCAGCCAATGGACATAGTAAGGATTTCTTTATCCTTGGACTGGTGAGACTGATAGCATTTCAGAACTATCAAATCCACTTAAGTAGAGCCCTCGGAACATGCTCCACATCAGGACCGTTCCCCATCCCCCTTGGTACTGGGGCAGTTGGGAGGCTGGGTGAGGCTTCTCCCCTTATCTATCCCCTTCCCCCTGATACAGGAAGAAGAAAAGGAAAATTTGGTAGCAATGGTCTCACACACTTTCCCCTAACTCTCGATCCTTCCTACCCTTCCCACCCTGATCAACTATGTAAATGTCATCTAAAACAAAAATTGAAAAAATAGTAATAACATGGATCGTAACATAAATTATTAACAGCCACCCTAATGAGGGTTCTCTGTGGGGCCACGTGCTCTTTAGTCGCAATCAGGCACACGCTGTGAGCTGGATCTGGCAGCTGGGATTTAGAGGTAGGCGGAACTTTATCCCTCTTTCTTCAAGCACTTGTACTTCTGTGTCAACTACAGTCTGGACATGGTTTGGCCCCTAAAGACTCAGATATTGGGGTTTGGGTGCTCAGTGTAGAGATCTGAAACATTCTGGAACCTTTAAGGTGCGAGATCTAGTGCAAGGTGATCAGATCATGGAGGACACCATCCGCAGAAGGGGCTGTTAATGCTGGTCTTGTGGAGTGAATCTATGAGTTGAGTTGTAAAAAGTACAAGACTGAGTCTTCCCCATCACTGGCTTCCTGCAGTTTCTCCCTGTCACATACATTGCCACCAGATACAATGCACCATGTCATGCCACCAAGGGGGTCGTCACCAGAGGCTGGAATGATGGGGCCTTCTGACCTTGAACTTTCAGTCTCCAAAATCGTGAGATGCATGAGCCTCTCTTCATTAGAAATGCCTCTGCCTCAGATACTTTGTTATAGCAAACAGGACATTGTTAAAGCCACAGAAAACAGACCAAGATAAAGTCTAAGGCAGGGAGTTTTTTTTTTTTTTCTTAATGAAAATCTCTATAGAAAGCAGTAGGATCATTCCACTGTGAGGCAGGTAGGTTGGGTGCTGGAACACAAGCACGGTGGAAGGGAAGCTTGAGTTGAATGTTGGCATTCCCCATGCGACAATGGCAAAGGATAGCATTCCATGGAGGAATAGGGGAAGGGCAAGATGGGAGCTGGTTGCGACAAGCTTTGATTTCAATTGCAGATGTGCTAATCAATCAATCAATCAATCAATCAATCAAAGCACTATTTTAGATGTGCTAAACTGGAGGTTTTGAATACTCAAGTGAAACTAACTAGTGGGCCATTAGAAATACGATTCAAGTCATGTGTGAAACACGAGCCAGGCACAGCAGTGTTCATTCCCAATCCACCATAACCTTACAGATTAGAGGGGGGGAAACCCTCAAACATAAGGAATCTCCGGAGCAAGTGAAAGTGAGGCTGGATGTGAAGCCACTTGTTGGCTTCCAGGGTCCTTTCCCCTATCGCTATCCACCATGACTGCACCTGACAGTTTATGTTCACATCTCTTAGCTATCCCACCTCTCAGAGGAAAATTTATTCACCTCATTGCAGACCCTGGGAACAACCCTCCTCCCACTCACTCAGACACAAACCCTGGCTAGTCCGTCACTTTCTGCTACCAACAAGGGTGAAGCAGACAGATTCTTGTTCCCAATTAGAAGGATCTGAATCCTCTGTTATTTAAAAAAAATCACTGTTAGGTTTTCATTTGACAGTCTGGGATATGGGAAGAGAGAGGGAAAAGGCAAGCGAGAGAGAACACCCATTTGTTTGGTGACTCCCCAAATACCCACGTCTGCTGGGATTACATCCTGGGCTGGATCCAGGACTTGAGAACCCAATCCAGGTCTCCTACATGCATGGCAGGGATCCAAGTGTTCCAGCCATTCCCTGTTGTCTCTCAGGGTCTGCATTGGCATGAAGCTGGAGTCAGGAGCAGGAGCCAGGTTAAACCTGGGTACTCTAAGGTGGTGAGATGTGGTCTGCAGAGATCTTAACCATTAGGGCGAACACCTACTCCTGAATCCCTATTAGAAGGCTAATTCCTACACATTCATGTCAGGAATGATTGCTTTTTTAAAAGTAGTGACGGGGCCCGGCGGCGTGGCCTAGCAGCTAAAGTCCTCACCTTGAACGCCCGGGATCCCATATGGGTGCTTGTTCTAAGCCCGGCAGCTCCACTTCCCATCCAGCTCCCTGCTTGTGGCCTGGGAAAGCAGTCAAGAATGGCCCAAAGCTTTGGGACCCTGCACCCGTGTGGGAGACCTGGAAGAAGTTCCTGGATCCTGGCTTCGGATCGGCATAACATTGGCTGTTGCGCTCACTTGGGGAGTGAATCATCGGACGGAAATCTTCCTCTCTGTCTTTCCTCCTCTCTATATATCTGACTTTCCAATAAATAAATAAATCTTTAAAAAAAAAAGTAGTGATGGATTTGAGATTAGAACCAGATGAAGAAACAAACAGCAAGTAAATGTATAAACATAGAGGGATGATGATTGTAGGAACATTTTAAGTAGGAAGTTATCCACTTCTGCTCTGGCCACCCCCCCCTCCCCAGTATTTAGAACTCTTGAATTTCAAAATTTCAACCCAGAGAGAGATGAGAGGTTCAAAGACATAAATGAGTACTCGTACACTTACACATTTGGATCCTCCTGAATTGGGGGCGACTTTATATGAGAGCAAGAGAGAGCATACTTGTTTTGGCTGATCTTAATAAGTGCACTCCGAGGGCAAAATTCCTGTAATAATACCAAGAGAGTTCTTTCAGTTTAAATCTGAAATGTCCACAGTTCAAATACAATGTTATCCTACCCCAATTCATTACAACAGCTCCTAGTTATTATCCTATTTAGGATGACACTTGAGAGAACAGTTTCAATTCAGAGCCTTAATTGAAAATTACTTGATGAATGAAAGTCATTACCGAGTCCCCTGTCATTTTTCCATATTCTGACTCAAATGCCAAGCTTGTCCACATCAGGGAGAGTACACACACACACACCTTTTTGGAGCACCTTCATTATTTTTATTTCAGCTTTCACTATCTTTTTTTTAAAAGCTTTATTTATCTAGAAGGCAGAGTCACAGAGAGCAAGAGAGCAAGAGAGAAAGCTAGAGAGAGGTAGAAAAGAGATAGATAAAGAGAGAATTCTCTATCCATTGGTTCACTCCTCAGATGGCTGTAACAGCCAAGATAAAGAGCCAGGATCTTCCTCCTGGTTTCCTACATTGGTTCAGGAGCTTAAGACTTGGGCCATCTTCCTTTGCTTTCCCAGGCCATTTATCAGGGGGCCAGACTGGAAGTGAAGCAGACAGGACTTGAACTGGTGCCCACATGGGTGTTTCAGGTTGGGGCTCAATCCGCTATGCTGCAGAGCAGGCCTCAGCTTTCACTATCTCTTGCCTTGATATTGTGACTGTCACCCTTTTGCTAATTATTTCACCTGTAGTCTCACGTGATTTCCAAGCACTGTTTCCAGTGTCTATGCTCGTGGTCAGGCCACTCTGCCTCCGGCGCTCCAGCCCTCCATCCTCTGCCCTGTAGGTCAATTCCAAGGTCCTTCTCTGACTCTGGGGATTTCTTTCAGGTATCCTGGGCCAACTTCCTCATCTCTACCATTGTCCAATTGCATGTGTAAAGATATCTCTTCAAATATCCCTTGGTTTGCTTCCCCATTGCCCAGTTGATAGTGCCACCTGTCAACAATGCTCCCTCATATTCTGTTCTTCCAGAATGCTTCTTTACACGTAACCAGCCAGCTCCAGGAAGCTCCCAGTTCTTTAGCAGGTTCTTCCTGGCTTGATGGCTATTCACTCCTTTCACCTCTTATTCTGTCAGACTGGACATGGGGTTTCAATAGCCCCTGGCTCTGATGATCTTCATCCTTTTCCTTAACCCTGAAATTTCTCTTGGTCCTCTTTCTGATGGAAACACCTCATGCTACAGTCAAGTTACATACTTGCATATTTGGGGCTGGGCATTTGATGCACCAGTTAGGATGTTATTTGGGATGTCCTCATTCCATCAGAGTGCCTGGGTTTTTAGTCCTGGCCCCACTCCTGTTTCCAGCTTCCTGGGCAGGTGATGGCTCAAGAGTTAAGTTTCTGCTATCTACATGGGTGATCTGAATTGAGTTCCTGGTTCTTGGATTAAACCTGGTCCAGCACTGGAAATTACAGGACAAGAGCATTGTCTGTCTCCTTTTCTCTCTCTCTGCCTTTCAAATAATAAAAAGAATGTACTAAAAAGTTTAATTCTTTAGGTCAATGGTTGGGTACAGTGGTACAGAATGTAGATCAGGGAACTAGGTTGCCTGAATTCAAGTCCTTGCTCATTACTCACAGTTTGTATGACATAACCTATCTGCCTCAATTTCCTTATCTGAAAATGGAGATAATAACCCCTTGCTCAAGCATTCAGCAGATTCAGTTCTTCACCACCTGCAAAGTGCTTGGGTTTGCACCTGTTGCACATAGTAATGGTTTTAAAACCACTATTAATTTGCTTTCTGCTGACCAGTCTATTTTCATTTACCAGGATTTTTTCCAGGCACATTAAGTGGTTCATCCTGAGTCAGTTTCCATTAGAAATAGCACTCATTCAATAATTTAAAAAATGATGAGAACTCTGTCTTCACCAGTGGCCATGCTGGACAGGGGGTGGAGATGGGGCAGGGAGAGATGCAGAGATTAATAACATGGGCTCCCTGCCCTTAAAGGTTGAGATTGGTGGGGCAGAGAGAGTTGATACTGGTAGGGAAGAAGAGTTGAGATTGCGTAGGAAGAGAGCAGTCAGTATGGAGTGTAGGAGAACCCACAACTCTGGCAGGAAGCCCATCCAGGTGAAGTCTGTTGGGTGACATGAGTTTTCTACAGAAAGGAGAGGAAGAGAGAAATCCCTGGGGGGCTAGGAAAGTCTTCTGTGCTTGGGAAGTGATGGGGGATTTCACTTAGCTGACAGTCAAGTTCATTGAGCAGGCTGGGGCAATGGGGTGATGCTGTGATTCTTCCTGAAGAAACACATGGTTGGGTGTGTGCGTGCTTGTGCATGCATGTTGGTAGTTGGGAGAGCATCAAGCAGACAAGTGACATCATGAGGGCTGTAACTGATGGTGAGCTTTTCTAAAGCTTTTAGGAAAAATACCTAGAGAAATATGTAATAAAGGATTGGTTACTTTAAAAAAAGATTTATTTTTATTGGAAAGGCAGAGAGAAAGACAAGATAGAAAGATTTTCTATCTGCTGGTTCACCCCCACGTGGCTGTAATGGCTGGAGCTGAGCTGATCCAATGCTCTTCTTCTAGGTATCCCACATGGGTGCAGGGTCCCAAGGCTTTGGGCCGTGCTTGACTGCTTTCCCAGGTCACAAGCAGGGAGCTGCATGGGAAGTGAAGGACACAAACTGGCGCCAATATGGAATCCTGGTAGTTGCAGGGTAAGGATTTAGCCACTAGGCTTTCATGCCGGGCCTCCAAGGATTGATTTCTTAAGTGAAACACAGAGAGGGCAATTAATTCATAAGGGAGAAGATGGGTAATTTTGGCTATGTTGAAATTCAAAGCCTCTGTTCTAATGAAGACTCCAAATTAAAAGAATCAGAAGACCAAGGAAAGAATACTAGCATGGCCTGCATTGTAGTACAAGAGATTAAGCCACTGCTTGTGATGCCAGCATCCCACAGAGCACCATTTTGAGTCTTGGCTGTCAGCTTCTAATCCAGCTTCCTACTAGTGTGCCTGGGATATGGCCCAACTTCTTGGATTCTTGCCATTCACATGGGAGACTCTGATGCAGTTGTAGTCCCCTGGCTTTAGCCTGGCTTACTTTTGCCTGTTATGGCCATTTGGGGAGTGAACCAGAGGATAGAAGATCTCTCTCTCTTTCTCTACTTTTTTCAAATAAATAAACCTTTTAGAAAATAATACTGTATATATATACATTTTTAAATCAAAAATTACCTTCCCAAAGGCATATAGGGCCATCCCAATGAATACAAAGACAGTGGTCCAATAGGAAACATTGGATCTTGACAACATCTATCCAATGAACAAATCGATTTAGAGGTGTCAGAGTGTACCACTAGTAAGAGTAAGAGTCAAGAATAACTAACTCCCGCAGCTACAAATCACTATGGTTATCCAATCCCTGTTTATCAGGTAAATGGAGCTTTCCTGTATGTGCAGAGTCTTTCAAAAAGTTCCTAGAAAATGCTGTCCATGGGTTTCAAATTTCTTTTTTTTTTTTCATGAAAAAACTATACCTGAACTTCAAAAAAAATTTATCGCAAGATGATTTTTGATTTCTTTTTCTACACACTTTGTGAAGCACCCTCATATTTTCTTTAATCCTCACAGGTACCTTGCAAGATAGATTGAGACTGAGATATAAGAAAATACCCATTTCATATGAGATAAAGTGAGGGTCAGAGAAGTGAAGAAACCTGCTCAGGTCAAATAACCAGTAATGGGCAGAGTAAACAATGAATCCAAGCACAGATCTCTTTCAGTGTGGGGCCTCCTGTTCTTATCACTGTGCTCCACTTCATGCTCACATCTCTTCCGGTTCTCCCAACACCTAGACAGTCATTGGAGGTGTTTCCTAGGCAGGCATCAGTTGGAAAACCTGTTGGGGGTCACATACACAGCCAAGAAAATCATCCTTCAGGACATCTGGCAGTGCCAGCTAAGGGTGTGGCACTGCCCAGGACAAAGCTGTTCTCTGGTGTGAAGATTCTTTTCCAAGAGAAAGCCTACTTACTCTTCGGTTGTTACACTTTAAAACTGTGTAGAACTTCTCTGAGGTCACATCTGGATTTGGAAGTGCTATGACGATGGCAGGGACATAGAAGTCAAATCCTTTAGGTATCACTATCTTGGCAAACACATAATCTCCAACCTGTAGGAAAGAACACGTTTCATATTTTTCTTCTAGATTTTATAGACAATATCAATCTCAACTTGCTTCAAAACACCCAAAGATAATTAGCAAGTATTCATGTCAAACTTTATACGTGTGTGTGCACATGCACATTTTTCTCAGTTAACAGAGTTCCAGGGTGGAGCCAGTATGGTGCTTTATGAGTGGATGAAAACACTTTAGTGCAACACATCTGCAGAACACATGATCAGGCAGGGACAACCGAGCAACACAGCGTCACAGGCTGGCAGCAAGTGTTTATGATGCCAAGGCAAGTGTTACTTCTGCTCTTGTTATTATACAGTATTTATTACACTCCTGCACTTAAAAATGTTAAGAGCACTAGCAGTCACAGCAGCTGTCTTCCCCTGACCATCTGCTGTCTTTTTTTTCAGTGACAAGTGCCATATGGTGTAAGGCACTCACACTCATGGGAAATGCAGGTCAGAGCTGTGGGTCATGAGCAAAGAAATTGCCAAGTGAAGGGGTCCCTCATACAAGCTCCCTGCAGGAACCCACTCAGGTTAGGCAAAGGCCCAAACTGGGGCCTCACCTTCTTCTGTTACCCAGAGTTCTGAGGATGGTGGGAAGGCACCCTAGAATAGATGGTAGATCAGGTACCTGGAGCAGAGGGCAAGGCATGGCGCCCCCGACAGGTGTGATGAATGAGGTGGGCACAACCTTGGTGTCTCCATACCTGAAGCCCACCAGTGCATGGGTCGAGTTCAAACACTTCTTCACAACCCCTAGAAGGAATCAAAGAAAACAAACTGTAAAGAAAAGGATGCTTCTACCTCCTCCCAACCCCCTAGCCCCGGCCAGGCTTGCCTCATCTTTGGGCTACGCTAGTTACAATCCTTTGCCTGTTTAAATCCACGTGTCCCTTTGCTACTGGGTTGAATAGCACAGAATGGGGATGTGTGAGGCTCTGGTCTGAGGTGGGAAACCAAGAGAATCTAAAGGAACTTACTCATCGAGTGGGAACACTGTTTTCTCCTGTCCCCTGATCTGGTCACTTATCTTAGCCTCACTTTCCCCTAAATGGATAGACAGTAGGTGTTGTTAGACCATGAAAATAAAAAGGAAATATGATCTCCCTCCGAGTCAGCTTTCCAGTTAGCAGTAGATACAGGAAAGGCTGCACTTCTATGGCTTCCCTAGATGTACTACCCACAGGAAAAAGGAAAACAGAAGTGAGAAGTTTGCCTTTTACTCAGAAAATACATGCATGTGTGTATATGTGTATATGTGTACATATACATAGAGGCTCTTCGGTTATACACTATAATTATACAAAAAGTTTTTAGAAAAGGAATGAAAAGATAAGCTCAATTTGAATAAAAAAATTAAAATCCATGCATTCAGGAAGCTTTCAAAACATTCAGTAACATAAGTGCCACTAAAAAAAAAATACCATGCATGGATTTCAACATGTTCTGCTTCAAAATAAACTTATCTTTTAATGACATTCTACACCCTTTTCTTAAGATCCTTTATGTAAGTATCATAATAGGAAAAGAAAATACTTGTGCTAAGATTCCCATTTTAGTCATTTATCTGAATTGAAAATCATTTTTTTCATTTGGTACATTCCTAAATTCTAATTATAGTTGAATGGTAAAAGTTGACCTTGGACACCTCCCATCGGCAGTCAAGCTGCTCACTGATTCCCACTCAGACACAGACCTGTGCCCCTGTATGCAGTCTCCCCACCCACTCCAGCTCATGCCCCCGGCTTGGTGCACTCCCACAGCCTGTAGGTGGCATAGCAGTAGTTGTTGATTCTCATGTTGACTCATGTTGCTGGCTGGAAGAAGCCAAAGAAGTAAAAATCCTCTTTTCAAAACACACACACACAGGTGATAACTTTTCAACATGTTTTCTTACCGAATGAAAACATTTCACTTAGCTTTTGAAATCATTAACTTTATATACACATCTACAACCAATTTTCTTTTTTTTTTAAGATTTATTTTTAAATTTTTTTTTTATTGGAAAGGTGGATATACAGAGAGGAGAGACAGAGAGGAAGATCTTCCATCCGATGATTCACTCCCCAAGTGAGCGCAATGGCTGATGCTATGCCAATCCGAAGCCAGGAGCCTCTTCCAGGTCTCTCTCTCACACGGTGCAGGGTCCCAAAGCCTTGGGCCGTCCTCGACTGCTCTCCCGGGCCACAGGCAGGGAGCTGGATGGGAAGCGGGGCTGCTGGGATTAGAACTGGTGCCCATATGGGATCCTGGGCATTCAAGGCGAGGACCTTAACCACTGCGCTGGGCCCAACTAATTTTCTTTATAAATAATCCTTTTAACTAGAGAAAAACAACACTACTCTTCAGATAGAATTAGCATTATGAAAACAATGAAAAAGAATGCTCCTAGGTGTGGCTGAATGGAATCCTTATGTCCTGTGCCTTGTCAGTGCTCACAGGGAGGACCTGGGCTGCCCACACCCTGGCAGGTGTGACCCTCCTCCTTGACCTCTGCTCTTCACCTCTGGGACTTGAAGTGTCCACTATTGAGTTTTCTGTGCAGTTTGGCAGTCGTTTGTGTGGAGGTCCCCTGATCAAGCAAGCATCTGCAGCGATGAGGAAAGCACCAATTAGGGTGAACCAGTGGCAGTTGGCCTCTGCGTTAGCTCCTGGATTACAATCAGAATTGTAGCTGTTGTCAGCTAATGGCTGTCCCACTTTCCTGCTACTCCTTTGCAGCGTATTTTTATTTTTTTTTAAAGATTTATTTATTTATTGGAAAGTCAGATATACAGAGAGGAGGAGAGACAGAGAGGAAGATCTTCCATCCGATGATTCACTCCCCAAGTGAGCGCAATGGCCAATATTGTGCCAATCCGAAGCCAGCATCCAGGAACTTCCTCCGGGTATCCCACACAGGTGCAGGGTTCCAAGGTTTTGGGCCATTCTTGACTGCCTTCCCAGGCCACAAGCAGGGAGCTGCATGGGAAGTGGAGCTGCCGGGATTAGAACTGGCACCCATATGGGATCCTGGCGCAATCAAGGTGAGGACTTTAGCCACTAGGCCACAGCGCTGGGCCCTGCAGTGTAGTTTTAAAGACTGATTTTCTTAATTTGAAAGGCAGATTTGGGGGGTGGGAACAGGGAGAGGGGTGGGAGAGACAGATTTTCCACCCATTGTTTCACTACCCAAATAGCAGCAACAGATTGGTGTTGGGTGAGGCTGAAGCCAGAATCTTCATCCATGTCTCCCATAGGGGTGAAGGGGCCCAAGCACTTTGGCCATCTTCTGCTGATTTCCCGTGTACAACTGCAGGGAGCTGGATTGGAAGTGGGGCAGTTAGGATTTGAACTGGTGCATTAGGATTTGAACTGGTGCTCAGAGGGGGATGCTGGTGATGCAGGCAGCTGTCTTATTCACTACACTGCAGTGCTGGCCCCACAGCATAGTTTATAAAATCTAACTGCTCATTTCTCTCCGTGTTCTGTTGCTCCGGTGACTACTTCTCACTGCCTGTGACACTGGCCTGGCTTGATTGCTTTCTGTAACATCTCACCCCAAGTTGAGAAGTTATCACAAGAGATTGTATGGTCCACATAAAACCTCTAAACCACTTTGTTTTACCAGAGAAGCGCAGATCCCTGTGCCTACATCTTTGGGTCTGGACCTGAAGGTTGTGATGAGGACTTCTTAGTCCTTCAATTCTGTTTTCTTCTTTGTACTCTGACGACTGTGAAAAGGAAACAGGAATGCCATCCAAACCCACTTTCCATTTTCTACTGGAGAGATAAAAAAGGTGACTAGGTCTAACACAGACCTTCCCTAAATGTACATGCAAGAAGAAGGAAACTGGGGGAAAAAGTAACAAGTTTGTCATTAAGTTATATTTCTGTTAAGATTCATAGTTTTGGGGCTGGCATGGTGACACAGTAGGCTAATCTTCCACCTGTGGTACTGGTATCTCATAAGGGTGCTGGCTTGTGTCCTGTCGGCTCCACTTCTGATCCAACTCTGTGCTTACAGCCTGGGAAGGCAGTGGAGGATGGCTCAAGTTCTTGGGTCCCAGTACCCACATGGGAGACCCAGAAGAAGCTCCTGGCTCTTAGCTCCAGATCATCCCAGTTCTAGCCATGGCAGCTATTTAGGGATTGAACCAATGCTCTCCACAATCCTTTCAAGTAAAGCAAATCTTAAACAAAAAAAAAAAAGTCATTTTGCACCATGGAATATTAAGCTAAACCTCCACCTATGACACCCTTATGGGTGCTGGTTCGAGTTCTGGGTTTAGACAGGCCCAGTTCTGGCTCTTGCAGCCATTTCAACAGATGGAAGATTACCCTTTGTGTTTCTCTTCTCTGTTACTCTGCTTTTCAAATAAAAATAAATCTATGAAAAAAAGAGATTCACAGTTTTACCCTTAATCCAAGTTGAAATTCATCTTGCCATTAAACACGATTCTAAATTCCCTTGGGAATATTTTGGGATCCTTTTTCTCTTCTAGAAATGAGATTGGCTTTTCACTAGCAGGCTGTCCACGTGTGCCGGGTCCCTGCTGGTTGTGCCTTGGGGAGTTGCAGGGTGCAGTGCTGGCCTGCTGAGGTGTGGCTAAGCTCCGGATGCACCCTTGCTCCATCTAAGGAAGGCACTGCTGCCATTTCCTATGGCCTGAGTCAAGCTCAGCTCTGGATTTTGGCTTCCCTCACACTGCAGTTTCTCTCCATCCTCAGTGCCTGCGGTGAGGCTTGTGAAGTCTGGATCTGGAATCTTCCCTGGGACTGTTTTAGGGCTTGGGCTCAGGCAAATAAACTGGCATGAGTAAACAGCCTTTTTTCTGTCTTCTGGTGGTAAGGGGCAGGGGAAGTTGGTCATCCCAGGCTTCTTCCTGGTTATGAGCCAACTTCCTGCTTGCCTAGAGCGCAAGCCTGTACTCAGCAAAACCATTGCCCACGCTCATGCTCAAGTGCTTGGTGGATTGATCTAGTAGACAGCATCAGTTAGTTCATTTGGTAAGAGATGCATGGGGTGGGGAATAGTGCAGTGGTTAAGTTTCTGCTTGGGAACACTCCTGTGCCATATCACATTGCCGGGTTTGAGCCCCAGTGATGCTGCTTTTTATTCCAGCTGCTCGCCGATGTACACCATGGGACACAGGCACTGGGTTCCCTGGCTCCTATGTGGAGACCTGGGCAGAGTTCTAGGCTCCTGGTTCTGGCTTGATGTAGTACAGCTGTTGTGGAGTATTTGGGGCATGAGCCAGGGAGATCTCTGTCTCTCCTCTTTCAAATAAAATGAAAATAAATAAAGTTTATTATTATTATTTTTAAAAAGATATATGAATATGTTTAAGTGCTTGCTCCAAACAAATTTTCTCCAGCTGGTAACTGAATTTTTTCTTTTTTGTACTCCTGGTTTTATGAATCTTTTGATAATTCAAAGTCTGGCTTACATTCCACTTCCCCAAGATGCCTTTCTCTTTGCTCTTGCCTTGGCTTCCTCTCTGCCTGCCCAACAATGTCATCTACACTCTCATCATTATCTTCACTTCTTCCTTTGATCTCAGTCATTTCTTTCTAGTCCTCTGGGTTAACTTTTGCTTCTTTGACTTGGCAGTTCAAGCTTTAAAACTACTGTGAAATTGAAACAGCTCCCTCCTGAGGAAGTGCTACATGACAAAACAGTATGTTAGAGGGGGGTTAATGATTTAAAATCCCATTTGGAAAGACAGGGAAACCTAGGCACATAGAGATGAAGTGATGGCAGTCACATGACTAGTACATGAAAGAGCGGAATTCAAGGGAAGGCAGACCTCGGTTTTTCCGACCTGAAATCCTTTCACCTGAGCAGGAAGCTGAGTTCCTGCGTGCGCCCATCGTGACTGGCTCCTTGGGCACAGTGCAGCTGTCACTGTGAATTTCCTGAAGTAAAACACTTCTTTTTAATGGACAGTAAGAAAGATGGTCCAATTCCCCAAAACTGATTTTAAAGTCAGGTTTCGAAACGCACCTTCTCCCTTCCCTTTTAGAATCGACATAAGTCACACTATCAGCTTATTCCTTCATCTTGTACCACAGAGTTGTTCCCTCAACCAGATGAGCTAAGCCAACCCCTGGAACAGAGCTGGTCCCTAGGGAGCTGGCATCCCTGTGATGATCTCCAATGAGGGGGCACAGCCAGTGGGCCCAGCTCTGCTCCAATGTAGACTTGCCTCCAAGCAGTGGTCACTCACATCCAGGTGCCTCAATACTGGGAGACACTGAGCAACCGTTACCAGAATAGAAGTCACCATTGAATGACGGGTTTGTGTTTTGCCAAACTCTGTTTGCCTTTTTGTTTGTTTGTTTTGCTGTGTTTGCAAGAAGGAAAAAGCCAGAGCTCAGTGACCAGGTGATTTGAGTTAGCGTCCCTGGGTGGGACAGATGGACACCATTTGCTTCTGGATGGAGGGCCCTGCAAGGGACATGGCATTCTTTAGGCAGCATTCTGAAAATGAGTGCGTTCCTTGAATTATCTACCCCAAAGTCAGGGACATTCCATAAAAACTACTGTCAAATTTCATGTCAAAAAAATCATGAAAGATAGAAAAGACTAAACAATTATTCTGGATTAAGAAGGCTAAAGAGACATGTTAAGTAATACAATATGTGGTTCTAAATTAGAATTTGTATTAGAGTAAAAACGTAATTTAGGCTAATAGCTTTGAGACAATTAACAAAACTGAAATGGATGAGATCAGACAAAAGTACCAAAATAATGTTGAATTTCCTGAAGGCTGTTAACTTGACTGTGATTATATTAAAAGACTGTTCTTGTTTCTGAGAAATGCACATTGATGTATTCAGGGCAAAAAGGGCAAACATTGGTAAAAGTGGATAAAAAACACAAGGGGTTCTCTTTACTATTCTTTCAAGTTTTCTGTAAGCATAAAATTAGTTTTATAAAACTATAACTCCACACAGGTTAAGCTGACATTCCTGGTTGGAGAAAAGATTAGCTGATTTTTTGGGCAGGCAGAGAGGACACCAAAGTCAGGTCAATTCAGCTAATCCAAGCACTGTGCTTCATTTGGCTGAGTCAGTGTTTGTTAAGCAGCCACTAATCGAAATTACTGATTATATGACTACATTCAAATTGTTTGTTTCCTCTAAACTGACTTTGAGCTTAATCACAGCTGCAAATTAAAAATTCCCAATTAGTCAGATCCTACATAGCCCTGTGCCTCTCACTGCAAAATTGCTGATGTGGTCTCTGCTGTTGAATGTGATTGTGGTGCTAGTAACCCAGGGCTTCTGATGTTTTCTCTCATTCCCCATGGACTGGGGTACTGGGGAACGCTCACTGCAATCTACTTTCTCCTCTGGGGCTGTAGCAGCAAACATCCTGAGCCCTAAAGCCAGGCCTTGGAAACAGTCCCTTTCAGCGTTTCCATTCACCTGTCAAATGGGTTGTAGATCCTCCCCCCTTAAAGGCTCAAAGTCCGAGGAGTCTCAAGTGGGGGTGGCTCACGGGGAGAAACCAAAGGCTCCACTCCCTATTCCTGGAGAGAAGACGCCGATCTTGGGCAGTGTGCCTGTTTTAGGACTGGGATCCACTAAATGGGGATCCCACATGTAAATCTGTCATCCAGGCAAGTCCCAAGCTCACTGACCACATTTCAAAGATGTCCTAGTAATTGGTTCTGCACATATGCCTGCTGGGAACTGAAACTCTTGCTTAAGTACTTTTCCCACTCCAAATTACTATTTAACTTTACTGAACATTTTTCTGGCTGATTGATAGCGAATACCTATGTTAAAACTAGCTTTGTTTCTATAGCATGAACTTGTTTTTTGGATAAAGCTTCCTCCAGTTCTTCTCCCAGGTTCCTTTTTCCACACATCCTTCTCCTGATTTCAACAAAGACTCATGCGTTAATGTCTCCAAAATCTTTATCTCCTGACAGATTTCCTCTCTAGATTTCTTTAATAGCTTTTATTTTTATTATTATTTCATTTTTTAAAATTTTCTTATTTTTAAAATGTATATAAAATGAGTCTGTTTTACATTTTTCATGATGTGAATTTGGAAGTATAAGGGTACCTCCCTCCCCTTTGCCCTCTCTATCTACTCTCTCCTTATTTTTCTTCCCCAGACTATTACAGTTGCATACTCATTTGTTTCATAGTAACAAGCTTAAATTTCTGATATATATAAAGATATTATGACATAGCAAGTAGAGGATTAAGGAAAAAATAGTACAAAATAAAAATAAGCTGGAAATCTACTAACACTCAGGAGTATGGATGCATACTGTATACAGCAGTTAATTCTCTGTATGCTAACATACAAATGAGATGAGCATATTATTATTATTTTTCAAAAGATTTACTGATTTTTCTTTGAGAGGTAGAGTTATAGAAGTGGGGAGAGAGAGTTCTTCCATTTACTGTTTCATTCCTCAAATGACTACAACAATCAAGGCTGGGCCAGGCCGAAGCCAGGAGCTCCTTCTGGAGCTTCCAACTATGTGCAGGCACCCAAGCACTTGGACCATTGTCTGCTGCTTTCCCAGGCACATGAGCAGGATTGGAAGTGGAGCAGCCAGGACTTGAACGGGCGCCCAAAGGGGATTCCAGTGTTTTCAGGTCCCTTTCCCCTCCAATAGCTTTTCTGACATCTTTACTTGGGCATCTCACAGGCATCTATAGCCTTTGCGCTCTGGACACATTTCTGTGGTTTCCCATCCACACCACCATCTCCTGTTGGCATCACTATCTACCTACTTAGCCATGGCTCAAGCCAATGATCGAGTAACATTCTAATTCATCACATCACAATGGGAGGGGATCTTTTAGGAACTTTGAGCATGACTGTGTTTCTCCCTGCTTTAAATGAGGCTCCCAATGCCCGGAGCAAAGTTCAAACTGTTTATCAGGACCCTTTGTGAGCAGCTCCATCCTAATCTCTTTAAAGTTTTATTGTTTTTCACTTCTTTGCATGCTGGGTTCTATCCCTAGTCAATTTTTCAACAAAAACATTTTTCTTTACCTTTAGCCCTTCATACATATATTTTCTTTAAAGATTTATTTATTTTTATTAGAAAGGCAGATTTACAAAGATAAGGAGAAATACAGAAATCCTCCATCCGCTGGTACACTCCCCAAGTGACTGCAATGGTCAGAGCTGACTGAATCTGAAACCAGGAGCCAGGAGTCTCTTCCTTGTCTCCCATGTGGGTGCAGAATCCCAAGGTTTTGGGCCATCCTCTGTTACTTTTCCAGACCACAAGCAGGGAGGTGGATGGGAACTGGAGCCGCTGGGGCACAAACCTGTACCCATATGGGATCCTGGTACTTGAAGGCAGAGGATTAGCTAATCAAGTCTTCGCTGGGCCTTAGCCCTTCATACTACTTATTTTCACTATCCATGAAGTCCTCTCTGTAACCCTTCTCCTGTCTACCTTCACTTGGTTAATCCCTCCAGTCTTGGGCTAACTCTCAGGTCTGACTAAAATGGTTTCCTCGCTCTTTTTCATCCGCATGCCAGCCTCAGGCCTGCGGCTCCTTTGCTTAGCACACTCTTTTCTCAGGTCATCTCATGCCATGCCCCTCCTCATTTATAACCTCATTAACATTTGCCCTCCCCAGGAGCTTTTCATAAATCATCATGTCTCAAATTGTAACTCAGGCCCTGACACTCTAACCTTCCTTGTGGCTTGAGTTTTCTCTGTAACACAACATGTGACATACTCCATATTCCATTCATTTATTTTCTTGCTTCTGTGTCTCCCTCTCTAAAGTGACACTCTCTATGAAGACAGAAATTTTCAACTGTTTCCTTACTGAATTAGGCTGGTACCTTCACACTGTTACAGACAAAACTCATAGTAGGTGCGCAAGAAAAGATGATTTATAAAACAGATGAGAGATCAAAAGATTTTTTTCTAGCTATCATTTTTTGTCCCCAAAATCATCTCCTTGAGAAGTGGATACCTTAATCCAGCTCATGAGATGCCAGTGTTCTAGTGGTCTCTAATATCAAATTATTTAACAAAGGGGTCTCATATATTACAACATCAATCTACCTGGAAAATAAAAGCCGTTTTCATCACATCTTGCAATAACCTTCTGCCCTTTGAGAGGATCCACTTTTTTTGACTTGACTTTCTTTGTTGAATTTCCTTGTGATTTCTGTTGCTGAAACAGACGAAACAGTAGTAACTGATGAGAAATAATTGTTGTAACATAGTGAAAACTCTTACGTACTGGGTAGCCTAGTGCTATGGTGTGACTAGGCCATAGCTCCCTGAATTATGCAGCTATTTAAACCCCAAGATAAAGCTACTAAGTGTGTAGAAAGTAAATCCAATTCGTGGTTCAAGAGGTAGGCCTCGTGGAAAGTACATGGGCACTGGGGATGTGTCCTCGGAAGGTCATTCTGGTGAAAAGATTGGTGATGACAGCTAAGTAGGCTCATTACGTGACCCTTATACACAAGCTCCCACACCAACCTCCTTCATCAGATAGCGGACCAATGGTGGCCGCCTGAGCTTGGGCTCAAACTGTGAGCTTCCTTCATAAGGAACTTGTCTCAGGCACGGAGTTATGATGACAAAAGAAACAAAAATACAGAAAACTGGTACTGAGGAGTGGGGTCATGACTGTAACTTCTGCAGATATGAAGATGTGGAGGAGATTTGGGGATTTATCGCAGTTTGGAGGAGGAGGCTAAAGACTAAGATGGTGTAAGCAGAGCATCAAGGCATCAGAGCGCGGACAGAACTGTGGATGATAAAAGCCATGCTGATGAGATTTCTGATGGAAATGAGAATTCTATTGGGAAATGGGCTAAAGGTCACCCTTGTCATACTGTGGCAACAAAATGACCTGGCTGCACTGTATCCTTGGCCTGAGATTTTTCTGGAAAGCTGAACTTAAAGACAATGCATCAATTTATTTGGTGAAGGAGACTTCAAAGTAGTGAAGCATTCAGGTTGCAGCAAGCATGGATATTATTAATCATTTATGTCTGTTATAGAGAATCACAAGCAAAATGACAGGAGCACAAAAGGTTTGGAAACTTCACAATGTAGTTATGACATGTGTGTAGGACGGAAATCACTTGCTAAAGACATTAGCGCAGATAAAAGGAGACCATATACTAATAGGCAAGACAATGGGAAGATCCCAAAGACTTCAGACTCCCCTCATCACCCCCATCATCCCGAGGACTGGAAAGGCAGAGTTGTTTTACAAAAGCTATGGTATTCTCAGTGAGCCTGCCCCTCTGAGCATTCCCCACAGTCAGCTGCAAAGATTCAAGTGGGCCCAGGTGCAGCTCATGCAGGGGGCCAGCTCTTGGCACTGTCCCAGAATGAAAAGATTTAAGGGATCATGTTGGCTTGCATCTACATTTTAAAGTCTAAGAAGTCAGGCAAAAGTTTGCTTATTGAAGTAGGGCCCTTGCAAGCCACCCCAAAGGGACAATAGCTAGTGCAGCTGAAGAGGGGATCCCAGAAAGATAAGGCAAGCAGGAAGGTTTAACACCTGCCTGACAAAGCCAACAACATCAACATGCAGCTTTAGAGAGCAGCCAAAATGGATAGTGAGCAACAGAGCTGTTAGGAGCATGGTGGGCTCCATCTAGATTTCAAAGTACGCTTTGAGTCCAGGTAGAAAATCAAATATAATGGTGAAAGAATGGATAACTGTCTCTTAAGATTAGCAATACCACCCTTTTATAAAATTGTTTCACTACATTTGAGATTCTAGTCAGGAAAACCAGACAAGAAAAAAAAAAACAACATATATATAAAGCCACTAATACTGGAAAGAAACAAGTGAAACTGTCATCATTCGTAAATTATATGATCCTGCATGTGCAAAACTGTAGAGAATCTAGCCAAAAGTTTGTGGAATTAACAGAGCCCAAGTGTCCTATTACAAGGTGAACATAGAAAAGTCAATTTTTCTCACATACTAGGAAGGAATAGCCTGAAAATGAAATTAAGAAAAAAATATCCTTTGTAATAACTCAAAAAATATAACATTTAGGAAAACATTTTATCAAAACACAAAAAGATAAATACACTGAAAAATACAAAGCATCATTAAGAAAAATCAAGGATTTAACAAATAGGAATGAAAGAACATGGATTAGATTTGCTATTATTAAAATAGTCATTTTCCCCAAGCAGATTCATAGATTCAATAGAATTCACATAAAAAGCAGAAACTTTTATTTTTATGTATTTTCAGAAATTGAGAAGATGGCCCTAAAATTGACACATAAACACAGAGAACCCAGAGGACTCAGAACAAATTGTAAAAAGAACAAATTTGGAGAACTTGTACTTGTTGATCTCAAGCTTACCATTAAGCTACGGCATTCAAAAAATATGGAGAGTCAAGAGATAAATTCTCACATTTACCGTGGATTGATTTTTGACAGTTTAGAAAATGGTTGCTTCCTAAAAAAAGTAAACTTGTCACCTAATTAGAAATGTCACTTTCTGGTACCTAGCCAAGAGAAATGAAAATTTACAACCACACAAAGATTTATAGCAAGATTAAACAGTAGGTGTTCCTATCAGCATGATTATAATAGTAAAAGGGTGGAGTCAATTCAGATGTGCATTAGGGAGTAAGCAAACAAAATCTGGTATTCAGAAGAAATATTTTTTTAACCAGTTATGAATGAAATATACAGAAAAGGTAAATGTAGAGGATGGAGAATGATGACTGGCCACTCAGAGCTGACATCAACCACACGTGGGCGACCTGGGGGACATTGGGGACTATGATGATGCTCTGGCTTGCGGCTGTGATGAACAACTCTACCAGTTTTATTAAAACCGTTGAACTGAAATAGATTTTGTAGTTTATAAATTATAGACCTATGTGTTTGTGTTTTTAATCAGTTGCCCTTTGTTGTTGGTTTGTTCTGCACTGCACAGCCAGTCATAGTATTTTGCCTAGTGCAGGTAGAATGAGTGAAGCAGCCCAGGCGCTTATGAATCTACTTTGAATTCAAAAGATGAATCAGATAGGCCCTTTCCTCCAAATTGCTACTTGGCCAAAACTAGGGATTTTTCCACCCTAGATTTTTCTTCCTTTTTTGATTATTAACTTCTTTTTTTTTTTTTTTTTTTTTTTTTTTTTTTTTTAGATTTATTTTTTTATTTTTTATTATTTTTTTTTTTTTCATTGGAAAGGCGGATATACAGAGAGAGGAGAGGGAGAGAGAGGAAGATCTTCCGTCCGATGATTCACTCCCCAAGTGAGCGCAACGGGCCGATACTATGCCGATCCGAAGCCAGGAGCCTCTTCCGGGTCTCCCACGCGGGTGCAGGTTCCCAAAGCTTTGGGCCGTCCTCAACTGCTTTCCCAGGCCACAAGCAGGGAGCTGGAAGGGAAGCGGGGCTGCCGGGATTAGAACCGGCGCCCATATGGGATCCCGGGGTTGCAAGGCGAGGACTTAACCACTTGCGCCACCGCGCCGGGCCCCGATTATTAACTTCTTCATTGGTTTCCGAAAGTAATTAGTCCTCCTCCCAATTAGTGCCCAGTGAAATAATTTTTCAATTTCTCCTTTCTCAGAATTCAATGACTCTCTTTCTCTATGATACAAAGAATAGTACAAGATGTTTTCACAGGCATTTTGGTGCCATCTTTTTGCAATCTGTATCTATACAGCTACAGCCGTATATTTGCCAGGCCATAGTTATGTCATAAATAAAGTATTTAATGCATACTTTATGAGTTCATCTTCAGGCCTCTCCCTTAAGGAAGTCTCTAATTTATGAGGGAATTGACTATAAAAATTTAAATAACTTCAAGCAGCCTGAACACCATTTGCTCTTGGGTCATTATTCATGTTCAATTCAGAATGGCTTCTGGAAATAGGTGGGCTCATTTCCATGGTTCCCTGATGTGCCCGGGTTCTGTTGTAGTTATATATGCTTTGGATGTTTGAAGATGTTCTTCAGGTTCCTTGAAAGAGAGGGAGTATGGTTTATTTTCTTTAAGATGAAAACTTAAGAGCCAGGACACATCAGAAATGGAAAACTAATGAGCAAAAGGGTTAACGTCCCTAAAATGAATTGTGGGATATTTTCAAGTCTTCATATCTGCATGGTTTGCAACCCACTATGGCCAGAGGCAAACATGTTCAATGAATGACTGTTATTTTGTTTACGATGTTCCCATTTGGTCAGATTTTTTTGGTGGGTTCTTCCTTTCTCATGGAATTTGTGCTTTCACTGAGACAATCCGTAGGTCAAGAGGAAAGACCCATCAGCACTGGAAGATGGTGAATGTTACCGACATATTCCCGGGCTTTCACCCAGCGGAGCTCAACACTCCCCCTCCCTGTGGGGCTTCACACGACCCTCTGCAGTGGGACCACCTGGTTCCAAAGGGAGGCCCCTGGACCAGGCCACAGGAGAGATAGCTGACTGTTGACCACATCTATGGGTCTTAGAGCTGTCTTTTAACCTTTGAAAGGCCTTGATATCTACACATGCAAAACGAGAGGACACACTAAATGATCTCCAGTATTATCCAGTTTGCCAGTTCTGTTCAAGTGTGTGTGAGTCTGCACTCTTGCAGCACTATCATTCTTTTTTTTTTTAAAGATTTATTTTATTTTTACTGGAAAGGTGGATATACAGAGAGGAGAGATAGAGATGCCGATCTGAAGCCAGGAGCCTCTTCTGGGTCTCCCACGCGGGTGCAGGGTCCCAAGGCTCTGGGCCGTCCTCGACTACTTTCCCGGGCCACAGGCAGGGAGCTGGATGGGAAGCGGGCCGCCGGGATTAGAACCGGCGCCTATATGGGATCCCATGCGTGCAAGGCGAGGACCTTAACCACTGCGCCACTGCACTGGGCCCCCAGCACTATCATTCTATGTGTACACAAGCAAAGGGACACACACGTATGTTGCACTTGATTTAATCTTCCACTATAAGAGGGAAATACACCAGATGGAACTGCAAACATGAGTAGCTTTCTTTCCTTTTTTTTTTTTAAACATTTTTTTTTTCTTTTTATGACATGGTTTCACAGGCTCTGGGATTTTCCCAACCTCCCCCCATGTTGGATTCCTCCACATTGTTGCAGTAGTACATTTCATACATTTCATTTATTTCATTATTTTTAACATTTCATTATTTTTAAATTTTTATTGGAAAGGTAAA